TCGTTAAATAAGCCAGCTGCCAAATATGCTGCAATTTCAATAATTTTTATTCCTGAGTGCAGGTGCTTTGGAGCGAAGCGCCAAACAGTTGAGTTGAAACTCTCGTTATTGTTCTGAGTGTGTCCGCCCAAGCACCTCTCAAGTAGATTCTCTTCAGATAAATCTGCGTAAATTGGTAGGATGTGCTTCTGCACGTCTGGATGCAGTGGTGCAGGATGTTCTATAAGGTCCAAATTTGCTCCTGTAGCTATGTAGAGCTTTCTGCCACTTGCACCAGCTGTCATTTCCTACCGGGCAGTATTCGTGCCTTGGATTTTCTTTGGTGGAGCATAAGTGATAATACGAGGCCATTATAGCTTTCTTCATATTTTCCACGCTATCAATATTTCTTCGTATGGCTAAGCCATAGTATGCGGTGAGCTTCCTGATAAGCGCATCAGTCAGCTTGCCTTTTCCACCGAGGTTTTTTGTTTTTTTAATATTTCGAAGCCTGCTGCCCATTCTTTTCTCGACGTGGCCAATGCATTCGTTCTTAGTAACTTGGAAGTTATTTCCATACGGATTTACATCCATAATTGCCTTGAAAGTTTTCGAGTCTCCATCTCCTATATAATTGCCATATTTTACTCCAAACTTTTCGTCTGATCTCGAAAACATTTCTATTATGGCATCAACTTCCATTTAACCCGCGGAGCCTTCGTGATTTTTTCTACACTCTTCCTGGTGTTCCTCGTACCACTCGACATATTCTTGAGTATCCGTTTTATTTTTCCAGAACGTACACCCTTGACAGTAACTACTTTTGACAATTAAATCAATAACTTTGCCAGAATAATAACCTATGAGCGTCGTTACTCCATATAACGATTTGAAGCCGCGTTTCTTCCAAGTGCCGTCACCAGATACTTTGAAATTTAAAATTGGTCTCCCGTGTTTCTCATTTTCTTGCTTTTCTTTGTCCACGGCTTTCTTAGAACAAAACTCAAACATTGATTGGGTAGCTGAGTAAATATGTTCAATAATTTTATTATATGCACTTTCACTCAAGCCGTCGCATATGTCCATAAGGTTACAAAATAAATTTAGTCCTTCCCTACCAATGCCTAAAAGGCGCATAATGAATACTATTCTACGGTTTACTTCATAGCCAGTATGAATAAGCGGTCCTGAATTGATATCTTTACGCCCACAGCGGCACAGAACAACAAGCTTGAAACCAAGACCCCGATTTCCACTCTCCTCAAATTTTACACTTTGTTTACACTCACGGCAGATAAGAAGAGTTGACAGTGTAAAATTCAATAAACCTATATGCGTGCAAGGGATTCCAATGAATATCATCACTGCTGCTGCTGGAGAGTTTTTTTGCACTTGCACTTACACCTGCACTTGTACTCGGTTCTGTACTTTCACCTTCTTGTTCTGTAAACTGATTCCCGTGGAAACGTCTTTTACGCGGATTCGATCTTCGAGACGTTACTTCCCTATTTCCTTTCGGATAAGATCTCATTTTGAACTTCAAAAACCGTGTTTCACACAGGCCAAATTTCGGAACTACACTGACTGTTTACTTTTAAGTTTCTGGAGAAAATGCTTCTGTTTCTCCACTCTATCAGGGTTATATACCCTGTCCTAGAAAAGGACAGGAAGCAAGCCATTTTTAACAAAAAGGCGCGAAGAAACTCCGGTAAAAGTTGGAGTCACTGGCTAGAACAATACTATATACCTTAGTCTACGAGGGAAAACCCTAACATATACAAGTGGTTGCCAGATGCGCGACCTGACACTGACCAGACTCGCATATGACCCTGCAATAAAACTTTCTAAAAATACAAAATTTCAAACCTAGCAACGGCATGAAAGCGACGAATCCGCTATGTAACAGATACAAGTACAATAGACTCCTGTATAACACAATTAATATTTCACGAGTTGTATAAATTCGAGCTATAGGAAATTGGGCTGCATGATAATTTTTCCTGTATAACGCAAACAATGTAAAGTACCATGTTTACAATGACTGAAAGAAGGGAATTATGAACGGCGGCTCCTCCGTTTAGAGCGCGTGAATATATACCCGCGGTGGGCTACCGCCTATGAGTCCCGTTTATGGGGTATAGCATCAGAACGGCTCCGAATTTCGCTTTAAAACGTTGGCACCATACTCTTAAGATGTTATACTAACATCCTATAGAAAAAAAAGATATTGCGATTTTTCAACGTTTTAAAGGTATTTCCCCCCTTTAAAGGCTCTACTCTACGGGTACCGGCTGTAAAAGACCCCAGTCGAAAGTGGGGAAAAAGCCTGGTCCCAACAAAAGAAAATTAGATCAAGTTAAATGCCTGAAATTGAAGGAAAACAACAAATAATGAAATGTAGAAACTTATGAAAACTAGAGATACATATAAACGAAGTTGAATGATCATTCAATGCTTAAAATAACGCACGCAGAGAGATCTCTCTTACCCTAAATCTTAATGGAATGGCGCCTCGCCGCTGTCACCGCAGATCGCCCTGGTCCTTGCAATAAACTTCCTGATCACAGGAAGGGTCCCGCAATCGGGGACAGAGTGACCGTAAACACGCGTCACTCTCTACACGGCTAGCCAGGTGGGCAGATCCAGCCGATCGCCGCACTGTGCCGTACCAATCACTGCACACAGTTGGCCGTCTGAACTCTCCCACAAGATCGCCGGGCCGTGTAGAACACAAAACAACAGCACGTAGTGCTTCAGAACACAGGACGCACGCACGATCGCACTCGCCACACGTTTAAAGTCAGATTAAAATTAAAACTGTGGCACAAATCGCAATTCAAGAAACAAGCCAAGACGTTCAACCTGCACAGGGTACCAATCACGGTCTCAATGCCTGGGCCCAGCTCCGGGCCATACACCGCCACCACCGACCCGCCGCTTGCGCTTGCGCCTTGCTGCGTGACAGCGACCCCACATGCACCCCCGCGCAGCGCCAAATTTAAATCTAACCGCTCGAGCTCAACATGCAAAAAAGCCACACATGCTCGACATGCTAGATAGGCAACATGCTGGAGATGCAAAAACACTGCGAAACGCGAACAGGTACACTGTAACACATTTTTGGCACTGGATTCCAAAAGGGTATAGCCGGATAAGATGGTCAAAGGTGCCCCCAAACCAAATTCGACTTGCTATGAACCATTCGATAGGTGATAAAAAAAAACCAGTCTGTGCCAAGTTTCAACCCTGTATGTTATCTGGGAGGGTAGTTACGGGTAAAAATGTAATTGCGAGGTTTTTGGCCAATTTCTCCTATTTAATGACATTCGAAAATTCTGAAAAAAATCAGAGACATTTCCATTTGTGAGGCACATATTACAGAATTTTTTTAGATTTGTAGATTGAAGACTGAAGCCGTGAAAAATCAAAAACTTCAAAAAATGCTGAAAAATGGCGATTTTGTATTGAAGGACCTGAGGTCCTACGATCATATTTATTTTATAAGTGTATATTATTGATACTATCATCCTCAATTTTTTTCAGATTTTTTGGAGAGGTGCGCCATAGTTAAAAAAATTAAAAACCGATTTTTTCGCTGTTTTTTGCGTGTTAGAGTTACTTATTCGACGAATTTTCGTCTGTTATTTATCACATACATGGTATATACACTGTTCAATGCTTTTACATGCAGTGGAATAGAATAGGAATTAAACTAAATAAACATAATTGATAAAAGTACGTTACGTCCGTTATATTTCAAAAGATTAAAGGTATTTTCAACGGTATCGGTGGTCCAGTGGTAAAGCGTCTGACTGCTAAACCGCTGGAAACTTCTTTTCGTAGGTTCGAGTCCACTCAAACTCAATTTTTTTTTTTTTTTTTTTGGAAATACATTATTTCAAACTTATCCAGTTTTTTCAAACTACATATTCAGAATTGTTAAAGATAATGAAAAATATTAAATAGTACTGTAACTGACAAAATACATGACAAGAGAAACGGTAGAATAGAAAGTACTTCAAAATATTAAAAAAATATTATTGAAACATTTGTAAACAAGTATATTAATGATTATCATATAGGTAGAAGTTTGAAAAAATGTATTTCCAAAAAAAAAAAGATTGAGTCTGAGTGGACTACGAAAAGAAGTTTCCAGCGGTTTAGCAGTCAGACGCTTTACCGCTGGACCACCGACACCGTTGAAAATACATTTAATCTTTTGAAATATACCGGACGTAACGTACTTTTATTAATTAGGTTTATTTAGTTTAATTCCTATTCTATTCCACTGCATGTAAAAACATTGAACAGTGTATATATCATGTATTTGATAAATAACAGACGAAAATTCGTCGAATAAGTAACTCTAACACGCAAAAAACAGCAAAAATATCGGTTTTTAATTTTTTTAACTGTGGCGCACCTCTGCCAAAAATCTGAAAAAAATTGAGGATGATAGTATCAATAATATACACTTATAAAAAAAATATGATTGTAGGACCTCATCTCCTTCAATACAAAATCGCCATTTTTCAGGATTTTTTGACGTTTTTGATTTTTCACGGCTTCAGTTTTCAATTTAAAAATCTGAAAAAATTCTGTAATATGTGCCTCACAAACAGAAATGTCTCTGATTTTTTTCAGAATTTTCGAATGTCATTAAATAGGAGAAATTGGCCAAAAACCTCGCAATTACATTTTTACCCGTAACTACCCTCCCAGATGAGATACAGGGTTGAAACTTGGCACAGACTAGTTTTTCTTGATCACCTATCGAATGGTTCATAGCAAGTCGAATTTGGTTTGGGGGCACTTTTGACCATCTTATCCGGCTATACCCTTTGCGACCGAAAGTTTGTTAATACATTTATAAGACATGCCTTTATTGCAAATTGTGGGAATAACTTAAGTTTATCCCCCACAAAAAAATGGCGATTTTTACGAATGAAATCAACAAAACTAGATTCAAAATGAATTTTATTCAAAAAACTTATCCGCGGAAACATATACAATATTACCTTTTACGCAAAGTTTTCATCCGTTTCATCAATTTCAGTGGACTGCTCCTCATCGCTCATTTCCACTTTAGACTTTAGTGGGGAATAGAGTTCACCCGCCATTCGATAAAATGTTTCACATGGGTCCATCTTTTGATAGCGGCACATTTTCATGAACATATACTTTGCTAGATGTGGTGGAAACATGGCCTTTTTTCGAGTTCCTGACCCCATCGTACCCTTCGCGTGTCTCCAAGAACTTTCAATAGCATTTGTGTGAGTTCCTAAATCATCAAAAATGTTAAAGTTCATAAAAACACAAAAATAAATAAAAATACGATATTTTCACAAGTAAGAGGGTTGACAGTACCTGTTTCTGGATCCTTGAAGTTGATGGAATGATTAACTTTGAGGTGAATGTAACCCTCGTCCATCAAACAATCATAAGATTTCCAGAAATCAGATATTATGATCGTTCCTTTTTCAATCCATTCATTTATTATCGGTATCAATGTATGGCTTTTCCTGTCCTCCACTAAAACCATAAAAACTTTGCCAGATTCCGCTCTATGCCCTCAAACACCCACTGACCTTCGACAGGATGACCTCGGTAATACTTTCGTTTACCGAATTTCGACTCGTCTATTTCAACTAAAAAAAGTGGTCATAAAAACACGATATTTTCACGAGTAATATGTACTTACCAGTTTTACCGGATCCTCCAATCTTCTCTTTCTTGAGAATCATTGCATCATATACCAATTCTCGACAAAATGATGCCCAATCTGTTACCGTTGGCACTTATCTCACATTGCTTTCCTATGACAAACAATGGGACGTTATCTACCCATAGATTACCAAACCTAAGAATTTGCCATAGTTTCAAATGTGATTTGGCGAAGAATATTTTGGTCCGAATACTAATTAAATTACGACAATGTTTCGCCTTTTGTTTGCGTACACTACCTTTTCCAACCATTTCCACATATAGCCATCGATGCTGTCAAAAAATAATCTAGCCTAACTAACCTACTCTAACTAAAAATAACATAACATAAGATAATATAATATAATATAATATAATTAGATAATTATACAGATGATTGACGACCTCGCCGATTTTGATGACCTTGAAATATGTTGTCAAGGTCACTATTCTGAACAACTTTTCCCTATACATGTTACCGCCCCTCGGCCTTCATTTTCCCGATATTCGCAAAAATAATTTTACTACCATCATTCACGACTTGAACAGTAACATTAAATTCGTTTTGCTCACTGGGGGGCTGTGCCCCCCAGACGTCCCCTGACAGCTACCCTAACTAATACCAATTTATTTTTAAATAATTATTTTCGTACTCTAAGGCGGGGGCCTCCCGCCCCAAGAAATATAAGCAATTATGTGGATGATTGACAACTTCACCGATTTCGATTACCTTGACAATATATTTCAAGGTCATCAAAATCGGCGAGGTCGTCAATCATCTGCATAATTACTCATAATATAATATAATATAATTACTAGTTCTGTCTTCCAGTTGCGATGAGTTTTAATACACTGCCACACTTTGGACACTTATATTCGCCTTCCTTCGGTATTAAACCCCAACATTGAAGGCGTTTGAAGAGTCCATTTGATTCGCATAATTTATAAATTGTAATTAAATTTAATTTTTCTGGCATTTCCTGTGATGTAGACGCCATTGTTCCGCACACTCAAATGTGTTTTATGTTATTTTATGTTAGTTTCTGACCGGAGCGTGGCCCTATATACTCGCGAAAATATAGATGATACCGATAATACACTTGCTGTTGTTACTATTACGGTTCCAACAATAATATACGTAATATTATACTGCGCGTTTATGTATAATGTTCGAAAGTTTGAAATCGCAGTCTGAAGCGCACCAATGAGACACATGCGCAACACTCATTGGCTAGAGCGTAGACTGTCTCTCTTAATGGTCCGCGCTGTTAACATTGCACTATGCTGTGGGTACTGGGTACGGCTTCGGAACTAGTTCCAAAACTTTGCCTAAAAACTAATGTTGTACATGTTTCCGCGGATTGCTTTTTTGATTAAAATTCATTTTGAACCTAGTTTTACTGATTTCATTCATAAAAATCGCCATTTTTTTGTGGGGGATAAACTTAACTTGTACCAAATTTTTTTTTTTTTTTGGAGGATAATTTTCTTTTTCCTTCATATCAGCCTTAATAATATGATGTTCGTTTTGATTAACTGACATTCTGATTGATTCTATCTTCTTAATACCAGTATTTAAATATTCTTCTTGTAAGTGGTCTTCATTGTTAATGATATTTATTAAATTTTTCACGCGTCGGCGAGCCGGCGTCGTTGCAGCTCCTTCGCGTCCAATCCAGCGATTTGGAAATCTTCGTTGCAACTCATTTCTAGCCATCAGCGAAAAATGTGCCGGGCACCCATCGTGTTGATACCACATTTTGTTCCTTGTTTCTAATGGTAATTCTTCCAATAACGAACCTAATGTTTCTTGAAGGAATGTGATGTACTTCGTACCATTAAGATGTCCTTCGATGAAATAGGGGCCGATGATTCTATCCTTAATAATCCCACACCATACATTCACCGACCACGGTCTTTGGTGTGCGACTTGCTGCAGCCAACGTGGATTTTCAGTTGACCAAAAATGCATGTTATGCAAATTAATATTACCGAAATTAATATATCGCCTCATTTCGATTATTTCTCTGAATCTGGAGTTAAGCCTATCGGTAGAATTCAACGCGATTCATGAAATCCGTACCACTTAATTCCTGGTGAAGACTGATATGCTAAGGATGATATTTATGGCGATGCAGAACACGAAGAACACTTTCCTGGCTTACGCCAGCTTCCCTTGCGATTTGACGTGAACTAACACAAGGATCTCGAACCACAGTGGCAAGAATACTAATTTCCGTTTCTTCGTTAGTTACTTGCTTTTGCCGGCTCTTTTTCTGATGGGTAAAGTACCCAGTTGTTCTCAATTTATCGTACAAATATTTAAATGTACGGCGTGTAGGGTGAAAACGTTGAGGATATCTTTCAGCGAATAAATCTTTAGCTCTAACTGAATTTCGCTGACATTCTCCGTAAATGAGAAGCATATCGGTTTGTTCTTCGAAAAAATACATCGTTTACAATCGCTTGATTCGACGATACTAATTTTATTATTGTTGTCTTGTGATAGAAAGATATCCTCAACGTTCTCATCCTATACGCCATACACTTAAATACATTTGCACGATAAATTGAGATCTGAAGATGTACGAGAAAGAAATTGTTACAGCATGTGATTCGATAAGAAATACTACTCAATCCGTGATAAGAAGATTGCAGCATTGCATTGATACCAATGGCAATCACCTTTGTAAACGTAAGTTTACACCTTTTGTAAATGTAAGTTTATTTCGCCTTTTTTGTTATAAATGACCTTTGTTGACCTTTGAAGACCTTAATGTTGCACCTCGTTGGATTCGTCTCAATAGCCGCTATCAGAAAATAAGTACCAAAACATAGCATTCCATTTAAAAAAACAAAGGTGACCTTCATATCTCTGAAGCAACTCCACCTAGCAACAAACATTAACGTCATACCACGGCCCCTGTTGTCCGATGCAACTTTTGTTTGAAAAACTTTTCTACTACTATCATACTTTCGGAGTTATTCTAGGTGGCAATAGTTAGTGCCTCACCCTGTATATATTGCGGATTATTTTGAAACGATTTATTTTTCCTACGTGTAACCAAATCGGTCACTGAGTGACGAATAAATGTATTATTTTTTTTTTGTCGGAGGGGAAATACATTTACGTACGCGGTGTGGGACTCAATGGTGCTTACAGCACCCCAATATCCACTAAAACCCCTCCCTCACCGGGCCGGTTGTGGTGGCCGTGGTGTCAGTAGCGGCAGTGGGTGGTGCCATGTTATGGTGGCCAGGATGGGTTCGATGTACCCCCCGTCAACCTCTAAGCAGGCCTCCGTGCGCCGTCGTACATTTCGACGAATCGATGAATAACCTCCATTCTTCAGGCCGATGTTGATATTTTAATTCAGTATATAATTCTACGTCAGAGCAGTAATAAAGATCTCCGCTTACTAAAAAATATTTTTTTAATTTTTCACTTCGTTTCCGAAAATGTGATATGGTCGTGTCTTGTTCAAGTAAATTCCATTGTTCGCGCTTGGAACCTAAAATTTCCGTCTTCTCAGAGCAATTTACCAGTCAACATCGTGCGATTCTATACAGAACATTTTTAAATTTGACATTTTATATTAAACGTTACTTATAATGTTTAGTGTTGTAAGCGTTAGGCATTGTTTAGTTGTTTCTGCGTCGCAGAGGCACGGCTAGGGTGTTTGTGTGGATTTTTGATGGACTTCGGAGGAGATTCTCGGCTACAAGAGAGAGGATAGGTTCTGCAAAGAGCCTGGTCCGCGAAGATCCGGCTGCTTCACTAGGAAGGTTTTAGCGTGGTAGAATCAGAGAGCCTGGTCCGCGAAGGTCCGGCTGTTCTAAGGAAAAGGTTTCTGGTGTGGTGGAGAGCCTGGTCCGCTGAGGTCCGGCTGCTCCGAGGAAGGTCTGGCTACGGAGGTTTCCAAAAGCCTAATTGACTTCTTGGGTAGTTTTGGCCGGTATTTATACTAATTCTAAAAGCTAGCTCCGTCCAATCAGGGGTGCGTATGACCGAGCGCGAGGGTTTCTTATGACCGTACCTGCGAGTGCTCGGCGCGCGGTGGACGCGATATTCGTACGGTTTACTTAGCTACACTTAATTATATTTTAAACGTATTCGCGCTACAATCTCCCCCTCTGGTCCTGAGAACCGTCCCGGTAAAGGGCCAGCTTAAGGTTGTTTCTTCTTGGGTCGTCCTCGTTTCTTGATTGGGCGCAAAGGTCGCTCTTCTTGTGTCCTTTCTGTCTGGTAGGGTGTCAGCAGGGAGGTGTGATATGTCCCCAGGGGTGTAGTGGGGTCATCCTGGCTGGCAATCTCGTAGGTTGTGTTGCCGGCTTGGCGAAGCACCGTGTATGGTCCATCTCGGCGAGGAGCCAATTTGGAACTGAACTTTTGTTTTGCATTGCTCAGTGCATGGGTAGTGACCCACACCAAATCTCCGGGCTGGTATCCTGGGTCATGTCGGCGGTGTGTATCCGCGGACTGCTTCCTGATTACCTGCTGATGCTCTTGGGTTTCTTTGGCTTTGTGGAGCGTATCAGCCAACTGTAGCAACCGAGGGGTAATTTCAGGCAGGAAGTTTTCCGACTGGATAATACCTCGAAGATCCGTCGTGACGTCATCAGGCGTGCGGAGTTCCCTTCCAAAGGTCAGATATGCGGCGCTATAGCCGGTACTGGAGCAGTGTATCGTGTTCATTGCGAACCTGATAGCAGGGAGGATAGCATTGTAGGAAATCCTCGTCCTTCTGCGCATCTTCGAAGCTCGTTATAATTCTCCTGAGTGTCTCATCACTCAGTTGGTTTTCTCGTATATC